CCCTGTCCCAGCTGTCCCTGAGCCCTCCCAGGGATGGATCCCTGTCCCAGTTCCCTGATCCCGCCCTTCCCCGGCAGTGAAAAGCGAGGACGAGGATGGCGCCCACTCCCACGGCAAAGGCGGCGACGACGGCAAAGACCACAAGCGCTCCAAGCGGCCGCGCACCATCCTGACCACCCAACAGCGCCGCGCCTTCAAGGCCTCCTTCGAGGTGTCCTCCAAGCCCTGCAGAAAGGTACCGGTGCCCCAATCCCACCGGGATCCTTCCCGCCGGGATCCGAGTCCCACCCAGCTCGTTTTGGAGCCCAGCTGTTGATTTGGATCGTTCCCAGTGGGATTTAATCCCAACTGAGCTCTTTTTGGAGCCCAACCACCACCGGGATCCTTCCCTGAGGGATTTAATCCCGATTTATCCCTTTCCCATGGCCAGGTGAGGGAGACGCTGGCGGCGGAGACGGGATTGACCGTGCGGGTGGTCCAGGTGTGGTTCCAGAACCAACGGGCCAAGGTGAGGGAACGGATCCCGTTCCAGGGGTGGGATTTAACCCCCACCCGGAGCTCCGAGGGCTCGAATTCCCGGCGTGTCCGTGTGTTTTCCCAGATGAAGAAAATCGCCCGGAGGCAGCAGCAGCAGCAGCAGCAGCAGGAGCAGGAGCAGCTCGGGAATGCCCGGCTGGGAAGCGGGAGAGGGACCGGGAGGAGCAGCCGGCAGAGCAACGATGACAGTGAAGGTGAGGGAAAACTGGGAATGGGCAGAAAGCCGGGATGCAGGGAGCGGCTTGGATGTGTTTCATGGAATTGTGGAGTGGTTTGGGTGGGAAGGGACCTTAAATCATCCCATTATCCCACCGAATTCCAAAGGCAGGGACACTTTCCAGGGCCCAGGCAGCTCCAACCTGGCCTTGGGCACTTCCTGGGATGGGGCAGCCACAGCTCCTCCGGGAATTCCATCCCATTCCCTCCCCGCCCTCCCAGCCAAGGATTCCTCCCCCAATTCCACCTCAATCCCCCTTTTCCAGGGGGAAGCCATTCCCTGTGTCCCGTCCTTCCAGCCCTTGTCCCGAGTCCCTCTCCTGCTCTGGAGCCCCTTTAGGCTCTGGAATGCACTGTCGTGACATCACTATCGTGACACCATTATGATGACATCACTATGGTGACATCACTCTGGTGACATCACTACCACGACATCACTATGGTGATATCACTCTGGTGACATCACTATCACGACATCGCTATGGTGATATCACTATCACAACATCACTATCACGACCTCACTATGGTGACATCACTCTGGTGACATCACTATGGTGATATCACTATCACAACATCACTATCACAACATCACTATCATGACATCACTATGGTGACATCACTCTGGTGACATCACTATCATGACATCACTATCACGACATCACTATGGTGATATCACTATCACGACATCACTCTGGTGATATCATTATCATGACATCACTATCACGACACCACTATCACGACACCCCTCTGTGCCCTCCCCATGGCGACGCTGCCCCGTTGGGTGCCCGCAGACGCCGCGAGCGTGCCCGGCCTCGAGGGGCTCCTGGCGCCGTATTCCCGCCTCCCGCCGCAGCCGCTCCTGCCCCTGGAGCACAACGGGCTGAGCCCGGAGCTCTTCCGGCCGGGAATGACCCCCCCCCAGCTCCCCCCGGAACACCTGCACCCCTACGGTAACGCCGGGAGCGCCGGGACACGCCGGGACACACCGGGATACACTGGGATACACCGGGACACACCGGGACACACCGGGATACAGCGGGATACACCGGGACACACCGGGATACAGCGGGACACACCGGGATACAGCGGGATACACCGGGATACACCGGGATACACCGGGACACACCGGGATACAGCGGGACACACCGGGATACACTGGGACACACCGGGACACACCGGGATACACCGAGATACACTGGGACACACCGGGATACAGCAGGACACACTGGGATACACCGGGACACACCGGGACACACCGGGATACACCGGGATACACTGGGACACACTGGGATACACCGGGACACACCGGGATACACCGGGACACACCGGGACACACCGGGATACACCGGGATACACTGGGACACACTGGGATACAGCGGGACACACCGGGATACACCGGGATACACCGGGACACACCGGGATACAGCGGGACACACCGGGATACACCGGGACACACCGGGACACACCGGGATACACCGGGATACACTGGGACACACTGGGATACAGCGGGACACACCGGGACACACCGGGATACACCGGGACACACCGGGATACACTGGGATACAGCGGGATACACTGGGACACACCGGGACACACCGGGATACAGCGGGACACACCGGGATACAGCGGGATACACCGGGACACACTGGGATACAGCGGGATACACCGGGACACACCGGGATACAGCGGGGTGCACAGGGATACACTGGGACACACAGGGACACACCGGGATACAGTGGGATACACTGGGATGCACAGGGATACAATGGGATATGGGATACAACAGGATACGGGATCCACTGGGATATGAGATCCAGTGGGATATGGAGCTGGGGAGGAGCCCTGGGCAGGGGGAGAAGAGGGATAGGGATGGGATGGGATGGGATGGGATGGGATGGGATGGGATGGGATGGG